GGTGCCAGTCCGCAATGACAGTTCCCACTAATGTAACTCAAGCATACTCATAACAGTTTAGCTGATAACTTTGGCATTGACAGGTCTGTTTCACTATAGCTAAATGGGACCTGTGGAAAACCCAAACCCAACATGCATAAATTGATTTTCAAAACAAAAGACTCCAATCCAAAAGGGACTTGAGGACAGTGAAACATGGCCAAGGAATACACCTTGTCCAAAATGTCCCAACCCGAACTGACCCATTTAGAAAGACTGACTGATGATGGTCCAAAAACTAGCAAGCTACATTTTCCCTGCACTTCACAATTCACACTTTCTGAAAACTCCCAATACCCTACCCATACTGAATATAATTTGGAACCAGCCCAACACAGGTCCCGTGGTCAAATCGCAGTGGACCAGCGGCATTAGCCATGCAGTCTGAGAAGCTCATAAAGTCCATCATGTATGAAGCTCTGCCCCCCCAACCACTGCAACTATGTAAGAATTAATGAGTAATTGTTTAACCTCAGACAGTAAATAAATAATTGGTACACCAGAGACTGCATTTAAATCACAGTCTGTTGAAATAATGAGGAAAAGTCATACACAGTGATTTATATCATTAGTGTGCAATATAAAGTAAAGGTGACTCAAGGAAAGTGACGAAAAGCTTTAATAAGCCTGTAGTGATTGGTGCAGGGAGGAAGTGGTGTATGTTTCCAAGCTATCCCTGGTCAGTGCTGCAGTACAGGGAGACTAAACTACCCCCTCCCCTCCTTTCTTCCACATCCTCAATCTCCTCACTCTCCTGAAATCTCCACCTCCACCGTCCTCCCCCTTTGTCTCCTTCTCCTCCTTACCTCTCCCATACCCAGCCCGAGGTGAAAGAACTGTTCTCATTCAGGGCAGTGGAGGGGGAAAGCTTGCTTTCAGGTCCCCCTCCTCAATGGCTCTTTATGCCAGGACCCCTGGGCCATCAACATGACAATGTGACAATGTGGCGGGGCTTTTTAAAAGAGATCCTGTGTTTGTTAAGTGTTTTTCCCCCTGAAGAGCAACCACGGGGCAGGGTCAGGAGACCTGAAAAGTGCCCATGAAAGAAGAGGGCCAACTTTGATCACACAATGTGAAAGGGATGGACTTTTTGATTAACTTGAGGCGGGGGGGCTGAGTTCTGTTTCTTTGGGTTTTAGCATGTAGTAAATCTGAGTTCTATAAGGATAATCTATAATTCCTGAAAAGGTTCAAGCTCAGATTTGAATTATAAGAAATCTTTACATGAACAAGTTAGAAGTCCTTAGAGAGTCTTTCCAAGAATGACTTACAGTGTGCTGAAAACACTTTCAAGGGATTTGGTATTGGGGGGGAACTGTAATATTTTCCAGACTTGTGAATGCCTTCTGAGAAACTGTGTGCTGTTTGAAATTATGTTGACTGGTGAGATTACTGAGGTAACAACATACACACCTTCTTTGTTGTGGCACTGGATGCATGTAAACAGGAAGTGGTTTAATCCTGTTTAGTTCCTAATGAAATAAGTGGCTTTATAAATTCCTAAATTACAACACATAGTTTAGATAGACAGCTATTTGATTAAAGCTAGCTGCTCTGTCTTTGAGCACCAAATGTGTATTAATCCGCAGCTGAAAATAGTTCCCAACAAATGCACCATTTCCTCCTGTTTACTCTGTATTTACTAAAAACTACAGTGCCCTGCTGTTTCAGATTATTACTGCGCTTTCTTTTTTTTAAACTGAGACTATACATTTGCCTGTAACAGGAAATCCGCCATTGCTGTTCTCTTTGTTGAGACAAAACTGAGAAAAGTTGTGAGCCTGGCTGAACACATAAACCTGATTCCAAAATCTGAGAAGTAATGAGCAAAATCATTTTAGATGGAAAATTGTAAATGAACTGAAGCTCTTTTCTGGCTTTTAAACAATCAAATACAGCAGCTGGGAGAGGGATCGGGTTGATGAGTCACCTGTTCGCTCGTCACACATTGAGGCAGTGAATGAATGAAACATCTTTCAGTATAACTGCATTATATTAACAAATTAGGTTTTTGTTCTCATTCATTCACTCTAGATTTTTGTAAACTAACAGCCCTAGTGAAGAGCCATGCAGTATTATAGTCGTCATTTTATGAAATATCTCAGATTTTCACCTCTAAATTGATACTGCCAATCAGTGACACATTATCTGACCAAGTAAAGCAAACCAAAGGGATAGGTGCTGCTCCTGTGACACATACACCTTTAAGCCTTGACATCATGTGATTATTAGTGACATATCCAAATTGTTTCTCCTGAGATTACCTCTGCATGGCACCCTTTCAGATACGGATTAGAGAAATACGAAACCTGCTCTTTGGGCTCTTTGAAACCCTCTCTAACAACCCCGTCCTACCCTCTCATGTTATTGCCTCTCCTTTGACATTCACCCCGAACCACCCAGAAGCAACACAGGCAAACTCTGCAAATTCTTTCATTTACACATCCACTGCTTCTCCAATTGGGCTTCTTACTTTCCCACCAGAGCCGCACTGGAACTCTTTTCCTCTCCACCTCCATGAAACATTTTCTATTATTCATCAAAAGGGGCTTTAAGCACCTCTCCCTTCCCGTTACACGAGCGAAAAACAAGACATCTCTGGCTCTTTAATGCCGATTTCTCTCATCTCCGGGAACAGAATTTGTGGATCATTAAAATAAAACACAACCACAAGTTACAGAAAATTGACTCTTTTGGCTTGGAGCAGAGGAATAAGAAAGAGAGGGAGGGCAGGCAGGCGAAGCTGTTCCTGGATGGATAAACCAAGACTTGCCCTCAATTTCTGGCTCTAAAATCACATCATTTCTCTCTTTGCTTTAATTCTGAGGAAATATGTATTTCTGTGGTGGTGCTCACACTCAATCTGACAATACAGGCTCATGGATGAATGCACGTTATTCAACACAAAGGCCCTTTTCATGTGTGTGAGTATGAAAGTGACTCATCTGACAACCGTTATCAACAACTAAAAGTATTCTTGATCTACAATTGAAGCTGCACACAGTGTGACTCCATGTGAACAAATCATTTCTTTCTACTAAAATTAGACTCAGAGATGCTGAAAGCTGCAGGTAATTAGAAAAAACTAAATGACAAAAACAAAAAATCCTTGAAGTTGGAGAACTTTCATTTTTAGCTTGAGTGGTGTGACCTTTTTAAGCTGATTCACTAGGCTTTTGAGTTATGTGTTTTTAAATATAGTAATACCAGTTTATTTCGAGCGCAGCACTCCGGGGAGAGCTATCACAATGGCCTCATTTTACCAGAGTGGGATGGCAGTCTTTTTAGTGCAGGACTGTGTCATTGTCAAGTTGTATTTTTTTCTCCCTCGTTCTGTCTGCTGGTTGGTTATCAGATGTACTTGTCGCTATATTTACAGGCTCTGATAAAAAAGCATCATTTTAGCCTTGATAGTGTGTGAAAACAACATTTAAAAATGGACACAGGCAAGGTTAAGTATAGGTCAATGGGGACAAAAATTGAAAAAGGCGGCAGAGCAACACATGCAATTACCCATTACAGTTTACTCTGCACCCTGTAATATCATTTTACTCTGTAGCATAGACGGTGAATAGTTTGAGGTTAAAGATGACTGGAAGCAACAGAACTGTTGTTTTGTTTTTAATGTGACACTCTAGTGTTTCTTGTGAATGTTTACCTCTTGACTTTGTATCAAATGAATTCATACAATACATACTCAGATATATAGCTCAGCTGGATATGGTTTTGGGGGATTTACATGGCAAGCCAGATTAGTTTAAAAATCTCTTTTTTGCTCAATTTCTAACGTGTTGTTTTGTCTGCGGGATTTCAAAAGAATGTAACCTAACCATGTTTTATGGTAATATTGGGAGAATGTAATGCTGAACCTTCTCTGACACACTCCCAGAGTTGGGGGACTACTTCAAAAACATTCCCATCATCCAAAGCTTTGGAACAGCCCTCCGCTTTCATTCTGCCACACTGCCACTCCCTTGACAATTTTAAGACAAAACTCAAGAAGTACATGTTTTCTATGGCTTATGATTGTTCTTAGTGGGCTTTAGTATTTTTTATTTTATATTGTCTTGTTCTGTCTCTGTTTTTACATTTGTGCATATATATATATATTGTATTTTAGTGATGGGCCTTTTTTTCTTTACATTAATTTGTATAGCACTTTTAAATGTGCCATATAAATAAACTTGATTTGATTTTGATTTGATCAGTTATTGATTTCTATTAAGTAGGAGCGCATAGATGCTGCAGCAGATGAGGCTTAAAATAGGGGGATTTTAAAAATGACTACACAAGCAGCTTATTTGGATTACATTATACAATGTCTAACACTGTTCACTTTGCTTTGAAAACTATTATGTAAACTTTATAACAGCCAAATTTACTGGTACAGCTGAAACAATATCCAGTGTATACTCAATGCCAAACACAGCTGCTAGTGCTGCCAAAACTCTGTGTGCTCCTCCCTAATTGACCCACAACAACCTGTGACTTCAGTTCCTACTGCTACAGTTTGCCTTACACATTGGATAAAATATTTATTAGGCCTGTTGTTTATTTGTGCATGCACAATATTAATGTGTACTTCTTGTTTGCACAATTGCTCGCTTTAAATTGCATCTATAGGGACAAAATCAAATTTTAAGAGTACTTCAAATGCACAAATGTGTTATTTGTATGCACTGTGTATTAATTTCAGATCATAAATGTGCTATTTGTGTGCAAACATTAGGCTTTAATTCCTCCATAACTCATGCCAGGCGGTAGGATTTAAATAACAACACACATTTTTATTACAGATTGCTTCAGAACCACACAGTACAGCCACACACTGATAAATGATCTATCACTATTTCTCCTGACAAAGTGAAGGCAAGTTTGGGGACTGTCCATTCGGTTTTTGACTGGGAAATCCCGAAGACGCGCCGGAAAATACCGAACGCCGCGGTGCCTGCTGGGAAACTACAAACTCGACAAACCGCCATCTTTCTTTATAGCGAGTTAGTAGGGGCAACATAACAACCAGTTTTTTTGAATGGTTATTCCTGCAAAATAGAACCGCTGAAGCGAGTCCACTTGGTCAGTTATTGTAAATAACAAGTCTAAAAGAGGAGCGAGTGGGTCGGAGTTGCAGATACTGTACAAATATCAGCCATAAAGACACAGTAGTTTGGTGTAAGCGCTCGACTTGGTGGAGGTGGTCAACATGGGCCGCTCTCGAAGCCGCAGCTCGTCCCGGTCCAAACACTCTAAAAGCAGCAAGCACAGCAAGAAACGGAGCCGGTCTCGGTCGCGGTCCAGAGACCGGGAGAGGTCCAAGAAGCGGTCCAAGTCCCGGGAGTCGAAGAGGAACCGCCGCCGAGAATCTCGCTCTCGTTCCCGGTCTACAACAGCCTCGTCCCGCAGAGAAAGAGCAGCCTCGCCGCCGGAGCGCATCGACATCTTCGGCCGGACGCTGAGCAAGAGGAACGCTCTGGACGAGAAGCAGAGGAAGGAGGAAGAGGAGAGGAGGATAGAAATGGAAAGACAGAGGAAGATGTGAGTATATATTTATTATTAACGCACCCACCCCTGGTTGCCTGCGGCGTTACATAACGATGCCCTTACAAACTGCAATGTGTGCTAAGCTAAATGCTAGGCCAACTGCGTGTGTGTGTGTGTGTGTGTGTGTGTGTGTGTGTGTGTGTGTGTGTCTCTTTGCAAGCTAATGCTAACGCTGCGCAGGGCCCTGGCTGCACAGGGAACATTGTGGCCCCTGTTAGAGCCCCACCGCTGCACCACAGGGGCATGTTCACCCTGTTAAAGGAAGGGTTTGCGTCTCACGTTTTAGTTGAATTATGGAGCCCATTTGGTTTTTAATATAACTTTCTATACTCTGCTGTGGTGGTGTTCACAAGTAAAAGTGATCACCCCTGCAGTTCTGTCCATCAATCACTTCTGTCTCGATACGATTGATTACATTGTCCTTGGTGTAAGGAAGTGACGTAGAGCTGATTCTGCGGGTCAACCTGTGGCTCAGTGGTCAGAATAAGTTTAATACAGTTTATTTATACACACTTATGTACAGTTATTTTCACCATCAGTCAATCTGATGATGATTTGGATGATCAATCGATCATCGCTGATACTGTGAGTGCTTTTTATTGAGCAGCAATCACAAACATTGGGGTGCTTTTCTGATTACATAAGCATGTTTAAGCCCCATACCCCATAACCTACCTCAAAGTACTTTAGTAGATATTTAAAATCCATGCATAAATCATTATGGACAATATATCTGGTAGCAGTCTTACATATGCGTAAGAAAACAACCCACTTTATAGATATTATATTTGCTAATGATGACAGATTTACATACTTTATGCATGCAAGAATGCGAGCTTATAGTATCTAACTCGGTCAGTTAGCCTTTCAGCAATGTCCTCACACTGTCACATCTCTGCATCTTAAAGCCCCTCAGTGGTTGCCACACATAATGCCCACGTCCTGCTTATTGTCTGCAGGCAGGTTCTGTCTGTTTGACAGGGAAGCTGTTATTGTGAAAGTGTGTGTGTGTGTGTGTGTGTGTGTGTGGGGTAGCCAGAGGCACACAGACACCTGAGATCTGAGCCGCAGTCCCACACCTGGCCTCCTGTGTAGCTCCTTTTTTTTTTTTTTACTGCCTAATAGCCACAGGGCCACTTAACCAAGCATACAAATGTAAATATCCCGACACAGAGACTTGGTAGATAAGGAAGGACCTGGGCCTGGGTTGGGTAAGGTCTCTGGTTTCCCAGTGGCTGACGGGATGAAATCAAACCCAGGGAGGAGGGCAGGTTGTGTGTTTACAGTTGAGCCAGAAGCGATGTGACAACACACCTCCCCACTCTTAATAGCTTCCTGTTCATAGTGTCGTTGGAGAAAAGAAAGAACAATTTAAAAGCATTTTCAACAGGCAAACAGGATGACAGGTGACCTCCATCTGCGTTAACCCTTCAGTCTGCCACAGTACTGGATGGGGTCATTCATCCTTACAGGGGTAATAGCCTGATAGAGGAAGTTCCAACATCAGTGCTTTTATAAACGTCACTCAATCTGTGAGTCTTCCTTAGATTTAATAATTACTATTAAACACCTATGAAACCACCAATCACAGTTCATTGTGTGCACACACTTTCCATTTCATTTTAGCATTACGCTGCTGACACATTTATTCTATTTCACTCACTGCATTGTAATGTCACTTTAAATATAAAGTGATGGAAGATTAAATCCATATCACCCACTCTTAGATTGCCTTAACTATATCCTAACACAGCAACAGACTTGTCTATATCTTAACAGCAGAAGAGACCAGACACTTTTAGGCTCTTTACTGTTGAAAAGAAGTGAAACAAACTTTAATGTAAAACTATGTGACTACTCACAGATTGATATAGTGACGGTTTAAACTGCACTTAAGTTAAGTTTCATGCATGATCCCACATATTGCACCAATCTGTTTGTCTTGAGGACACATGTGGCCTGGGCCTGGGCCCTTCTCCTTCGCTGGGCCTAACTGTGAGCTCTAGCACTCAACGGGGAGTGACCCGCAATATTATGGCCCTGTGGTCGACCCCGCTGTGAGGGCACAGTGGAAATAGATGCGAAGACAACGCTGTTAAAGCACCAAAGCAGTGGGGAAACTACACTACGCTCACTGTAGACCAATGGCAAAAATGTTAATCGCAGTGACACCACATGTCATTTAAATGATGGAGATCACTGAGAGAGCTACAGAATGAAGAAACAATAAATGTTTTATTTACAGAGCGCTTTTCTAGGAACTCAAAGACAAAACAATGCTGTAAAAGCTAGAAGTGACAGATACTTCCTTGTTTTTGAGGTATGTTTGTTGCTCATGCCTCGTAGGGCATTTCTAAAACATTTTCAGAAGAATGAGTGTTTCACTTTCTGGTTTCTGCATTTGTGTCTTTGGTATCAGATCATCTTTAAGATAAATACACTCTATCCCCAATTTCCTATAACCCGTCCCTCTGTATATCTGCGTTCCATCCTCAGCCGGCAGCAGGAGATCGAGGAGAAGCTGATAGAGGAGGAGACGGCGCGGCGAGTGGAGGAACTCGTGGCCAAGCGGGTGGAGGAGGAGCTGGAGAAGCGGAAGGACGAGATTGAGCGGGAGGTGCTGCGGCGTGTCGAGGAAGCGAAGCGCATCATGGAGCGGCAGCTGCTGGAGGAGCTGGAGAGGCAGCGGCAGGCCGAGTTGGCGGCGCAGAAGGCCAGAGAGGTAACGCTCGGTCGTTTGGAACGCAGCCCCTCCCTCCCCTACATACCCCCACAACCCCTTACCCCCCTGTCCCCATCTCCCTCCCAGTCACCTGCTCTGACTGGTGCCTTTCTACGGGACATGGTGGAGGTGCAGGGGCCTCCCACCCGATCTTAATTTACTTCTCAGAACGTAATCTAGCCATGGTACAAGTTTCACTGTGGGGAGGGTGGATGCAGAGCCTGGAAGTGGCCGTCCTGCAGGGAAACACTGTATTTAATGGGAGAGTGTTTGTCTGCACACAACGTAGCAAACATCGTATATAGAACAAGAGGAACCCTGCCAGTTTGAGAGTCTCTTGATTCATCAGTAGTAGGTATGTTTATCTACTGAGATGTGGCAGCAAAAATTTCTAATTAATATTAATAAAACTATTCATATTTTCTAAGAATTTCAAATATGTGAGATGAGACACTGTGCAGTGGGGAACAAGGCTGCAAATGAATCACAAAAAAGGAACTTAATACAAAATTGTGGCTTCACAGTATACATATATACATATATACACATATATTATTCTACATTTGTTTTGGAGCCATTTAACAGCTTTTGCACCGAGCTAGATGGAAATTTGGGTTTTAAACAGCAGGGTCTTGCTGGAACTGAAGCTGCAATTTGGTTTTAAGGATGACGATTGTCTGTTTCATATTTAAAGGTGGAACGTGAATATTGCCACTGTTAATTCTAGCGTCTCGAAAGGATTACCTAACCTCCCAGTGAGAGTTTTGCCATGGCAGGGTTACAAAAATTGACTGACTTCATTCATTACCATAACTTTGGACCGGCTTGATTTTTTGCTTTCATATTTGTAAGCATCTCTGTTGATGTCTGTAATAAAGAGCTGTCTCTCTTTTTTTTTTTTTAAAAGATGACATTTCTGTTATACATTCACCGTCTCTGTACATCACCGATTTAAGATTTTTTTCCCAAATGCCTATAATTGACAGCCCTTTTAAAAGCGTAACGTAGTTGTTTTATGTGTCGGGTTATCCAGCCTTTAGTTTGAGTTCTGTTCAGAAGCCCTAACGGCCTTTATCACACAGCTTTTAAAGGAACCGTCTCAGGATTCTTTAAAGTTAACACAAACCTCTTTGCTTCTGTCTTTCCCTTTTGCGTTTTTTAGAGAGTAAAGGTAGACAGCTGTCTGACAAACCCTCTGCCCCACCTCCCCAGGCGTCATTAAGAAAAAGAGGGTTTGTTGACACTACAGTAATAATGTATTGTGAATGAGAGGGGCAGCTAAAGCCTAGTGACCCCGACTCGCACAGGCAGGGAGCAGCCAGTGGCTCGGTACTAATAGGATGAGAAATGTAGTCTGAGCGCGCCTCCTTTACCTACTTGGACTTATTCGGTCACCCCTCCCCAGCCTTATGCTCTGTCTGTGCGCTGCCACTCTGCTCTTTCCAAATCTCCCACTCTCAATCCTAGACACCGTTACCGACAGGACCGGTAGAACTAACAAGGCTCTTCTGTAACCAAAAGGTCGAGGTCAGCCTTAAAGTATTCAGCTGAGTAAGCTTCAGCTAGATGCCAGCGACAGGGCACCAGTCCAATCTTTCCTCTAACAGGAGCTTTTGAAACATGGCTGGAGACGTTCTGTCTGTTTTCTCTGACATTTTCACTCAGATTTGATGTGTAGAAATGTTAATCACGTTTGTTTAATTCACAGACAGTTTGTCCTGTACAGGTTTTCTTTACCACCCGCCCTTACCTTCTCTTTAACAAGCCTCTGCTCGGGGATACATTATGATGGACCACTACATTTCCTGTTTCCTGTTTTGACACAGTTAACTATCTCTGACTTCACCTTTATCTGTTAATATCTATATTTTTCTAATATTCATTATTTTATACAGCTAAAGAGCTTTTTCTCCCTAGAACAACAAATGTACTGTGTTGTGTACTCATGACTTGCTTCTCCTATAGGGTTGCTGCTAAGTTTGATATTGTTATCTTTAAATACATTTGTGTTGTTTTTATTTTGGAAACACAACTCACCACCTTCCTAACTAGCACTTGACCTGAGCTGGCCTGCAGCCTTTCAGCTCACCTGTGACTTGTGTCCTGTACTGTAAGTGTACCGTGGTCCGGTCCTCCTCGATCACACACAGACACCACTTTGCACTGTACTCTCCTTCACTCTGCTATCGTCTCAATGGGGACTGAGCCACTGTAAAGCAAAGGAAAAACGTAAAAAAACAAACAGATTGTGAGCTGTGGCTGCAGGCGCAGGTTAAGCAATACAGAGATCAGAGTTATAAAGAGGAATGCCGCGGGCGCGGTACGGCAGAATCCCCCCATACCTACCTACCCACCCACCCACCCACCCCAGGAGCGCTTCTCTGTCTCTGCAGGGGCCACACAGTCCGGACGAGACAGTAAATATTCAACCGTTTAATGCCGAATGCTTTCACCAGTTGTGTAGGTACACAGGCAAGGAAAATGCGTAGGTATACGTGCATTGGTGAGCCAAAACTATTCCCTCCTTTATTTGTATCCTTTTTTCTCTTGCTTATAATGATTGTTAAAAAAACAGCAATTGTATTTTTCTTCTAGATTGTATTGTCTGTCATTTATATCTGTCTTCTATTTATGAATGTGATGAGTGGGTTTTCCCCCTTTTTTAAATTCTTGTGTTTAAATGTTAATGTCTTTCACAATAATGCAGTGAGTGCCCTAGGTGTGGCTTAGCTTGTAATTTATCTAGGAGGGTAATAACAGCAGTAGAGGGAGGGACAAAAAATAGCGGGTTCACCCCCCCCCCAGTTTCTTTATGCTTTTTGGTCCCCCCCCTCCCTTGTATTTTTAAAACAATTCAGGCTGACTGCAAAGAATGCCACAGTGTGGTCATATGTGAGAGGCTAAACAAACTTCTCTGTGGTGTAATGAGTTAGCTGTGCGTGCGTATGTGTGCTGGTGGCGAGTGCGTGTGACAATTAGAGGGCAAGCGTGTGTATGTATGTACATAAAGTGCTTTGTGGCCGTAGCCTGTTCGTGCGCTAACATGGAGCCGTGTCACCCGTCTAGGAAGAAGAAAAATCTAAGCGGGAGGAGCTGGAAAAAATCCTGGAGGAGAATAACCGCAAGATCGCCGAGGCTCAGGCCAAGCTGGTACGCCCTGCTCTCTGAACAACCGTTGCTTCTTTTCTGCCTGTTTCTGGATGCATTTCTCCCATTTCTGTCAAATTCATAACCCTAAATTTAAACATTTCTGCATGCCGACCTCAACACATAAAAAAGCACTAGCACTATTAATCTTGATAATGTGTTTATGTAACATTCTAACACAAGTTATTTTCTTCCTCGATTCACGTTATATTTATATCCCAATTATTTTAAAACATAAATGTAACTGTCCTGATCGCATCCAATGATAAATCACATCACTCCTATGAACTGAGTCCAGTAAGAAAAACAGACGCGCATCATGTCTGGGTTATGTGCTTTTAATGTCCCTTATGTGTCTTTAATTACAAATATCTGTCCTCCACTGATTGAGACCTCAAGGCTTTCACCACACCACAACACGACCGAATAACTTAATAGTCCTTTGGCAAGGACTTATTCTATTGAGTGGCTCTGAACTGATGGTTATCAGCCGTGGTTAACAATCCAGTGGGTTTTATTTTTTTCCTCTTGGCTATGTGAGCTTAAGTTTGTCTAATTTGTAAAGCAGTGTTTATTTGATTCAGGCTTGATTTGGACAAGCTGTATCAAACAGCTGCACACTAAAAAAAGAAAGAAAAGCAGACACAGTGATGCTGGATCTTAAACGGGGGGGGGTAAAGAAAATGCCAGCAGTTTGTGGGCACTTGGCTCGAGGGATTTGGTCCAGTGTCCCTGTCTGACCTTATTGTTTGTGCTGCGTGCTTTCTCTCCGACAGGCTGAGGAACAGTTGCGTATTGTGGAGGAGCAGAGAAAGATTCACGAGGAGCGCATGAAGCTGGAGCAGGACCGTCAGAAACAGCAGAAGGAGGAGCAGAAAATCATCCTCGGCAAGGGCAAGTCCAGGCCCAAGCTCTCCTTCTCCCTCAAGGCCACCGAATGAGACTGCTCCCCCCTTCGTTCCACATGTCACGCCCTGCCTTCATCCCCATCCAGCGCTCCCTCCTCATCGTCCGACCCCCGCTCCTTCTCCTCCTCCTACTCCTCCTCCTCTGTGGAACGCTCGCTTCGTTTTGGAAGTGCAGAAGGAAGGCCGAGGAAAGGGGTGCAACAACCCGGCGTGTTAACTGGCTCGTCCCTGCGAAGGCCCGCGTTGTTCCTCCCGGCCTTGAAGAGGAGGCAGCTCTTCGCCCTCGAAGGACCTGACTGCTCCCTCCATCCTTCCTCATCCCCGCCTGCACAGATGACTCTTGTTTGTGCTTTTCTTTTCTCCTCGGTTTTATTTACATTTTTAGGGAACTTGGAACTTTTGATGTAGAATGCTATAACATGTCCCTCGCCCCGCAAGTCTTAACTCTGGTGTAACAGCGAGCAACTGTGCGCCCGTGCTCTTCTTACATGTCTTCACAGCCAGCAAACTACAACAGAACGCCAGTCCCTGATATAGAGGAGTATGTGTGACTTTGTCTAGTTCAGTGTACTGTAAAAGCTCATGCGCAGCTTGGGAGTTGGCCTGTGGTTTTCCCCCCGTTTTTCATTTAAAAAATAAATAAATAAGGTTCCTAAAATGGCTGACGCAGTAAAATCACAGCGCAGCCTTTTAAAAGCACAGTTAACTTCCCGTCCAGCTGACAGGTTTGTGTCTTCCACCTCCCTTACTTCCTTTGCCCATAAGCTCCGTTCACCACATAAATCCACAGCTTCTTTTCTTTCTGCTTCAGCTGTCTGCCATGTATATAATTTTTTTTCTAAAGGACACAGCAGAGCATGTTGAGAGGAAATGTAAAGCTTGTGTTCGATTTGAAGTCGCTGCAGTGCAGGTGAACTCAGCCTCCACTCCCAAGCTACCCATGACTGAACCACAAACCTACAACAGGATATTTGTCTCGTCCATGATAAGGGGGCCCTGTGGGTTAATGGAGGGGGGAGAGAGAGAGAGAGAGACGGGGGACGTTTCCTGTGTGATGTAATGTTAATAGCCTTGCTGTGATGTCCTGACTCCCACTCCACCTCCTCCTCCAAGTTACAATTGTGTTATAAAATTGATCCACATGATTAGAAAACAAAAGTCACGGTAATGGTTAATACTCGGTTTGTTTTTATCAGACTCTTCGGGGGGGGGGTAACTGTGAATTGTACGAGAACACCCGACCAACACAGTCCATGTTCTGTCCCTGAATTTTGTTTGTAGTAAATTAACTTGGCAAGGCGCCTCACTTGGTAAGTCTTGATTCGTAGAGGATGGACAAGTTCAGGTAAGATAAGGTTTGAGGTCAGCAGCAGTGCGAGTGTGTGAGAGTGAATGAGAGAGAGAGGGAGAGAGAGAGAGAGAGTGTGTGTGTTTGTGTGTGTGTGTGTGTTTTTGACTGACAGGCTGATCTCAGGTGGGTATAATGACTTTTTGTTATGTTGTGGGATTTTTTTGAATTTGTCATGTAATTTCCCCCGATTGTCAAGGGACTGAACAGTTCAATAAATCCATTGAATGCCTCCTGATGTGTCTGTGTGTGTGTGTGTGTGTGATGCTCTTAATCTGAATACATATCTGAGGGAACATTTGAAGAAGTGCAGCGTAAACCCACTTGAACTCTGTTTACTTAATGTCCCCCTTCACTCAGATCTGTTTTTCTTGTCCTTCCTACAGTGTGATGTTAGATGTTCACTGTGCAGGGCGATGTATGTGCAGAGTTTGACTCTAGAAGGATATTTTCACATTTATCTGCTGAAAGTGGAAAGTTTCTGAGCTCACTGAACTTCAGATTTTAAGGGGCGTGGCCTACAAGCGTGATTTTTTACATCACAGTTTAGAAAGTCAGTCCTGATCCAGTATGCAACTTGTATAGTATGATGTAGAAACCTGAAGCCACCAGTGCACACACTGAGAATGGACTTAACAGTGAAGGAGGAGACATCTTGTGTCCAGCAGGAACACTTTAGAAATGAACAACATTTGCATAATCATCGGTTCTGGAATTTTTATTGATGTAAAATGCGTAGATGCTTTTTTAAAAGATTTTAATGTCGAAATGATACCTTTTTTGTTGTTGAGAAATAAGGCAGACATTGTTCCAAGTAGACTATTTGTATAAGTCATAATACATCTGGAGGGGATCTTTAAAATTGGCTTTATCGAGAGTCATAACCTCACAAAAGAAGGTCCAATTGCAAATTGGAACGGCCTTAATTCAAACTGAAGTCACTTCACACAATCATTTTAAATAAGTAGTCATTTGACCTGGTCAATGACAAATTTTAATGGCATTACTGGCACCGTCTTGTGTTTTGTCAGCGGGTTATTGCACACTATGATCCATTTTCTACCCTTGAGCCGTGCAGGACCAATACATCAACGTCAAGTTAACGAAATCCCTGCAACAACACCACCTAATTAGTTGGCAGCTCCAGTTTGAGACTCTTGCAGCCGCTGGTTTGTTTCCAGGCTGCTGTGACTGAGATCACTGCAAACCGAGCCGTGAGTTCAGCAGACCACGGCCTGGCCTCGGTCTCCTGTTCACTGGATTAAAGTCAATGATAAATAACCTCAACAAATACACACTGATACTGTGGAAGCCCATTTCCACCAATGTAAGGGGGGAAAAAAGGATAATTTGAGTCATATAATGAGAAACCTTCAAATAATTAGAAACTTTCAAAATACCGTCATTATTTTGAGTAAACGTCTCAAAATATTGAGAAAGTTTCTCATTATTGTGAGACGCTAATTCATTATTTTGACATAAGTCAAAATAATTAGCAATTCTCATTGTTTTTATTATTATTTTGAAATACTAAATCATTATTTTATAATAAAAATAAATAAAAAATATGAAAAAAGAGTCACTATTTTGAAATACTAAATCATTTTGAGAAGGTTTCTTATTATTTAGAGATTCTAAGTCATAATTTTTGAGAAACTTGGTCACTATTTTGAGAATATTTCCCATTATAATGATTTACAGAATCTTTTTTTTCTTTTCATCACATTGGCCGTAATGGGCTTCCATAGATCTCAGAGCGGCATTTGGAAACAGTTTAATTTTAACGGGCGAGGACTTTAAAACTAATGAATCCAATTGTTAACTGCCGACTACATTTAAAGGTGCCAGTGAAGCAGTGATGGATGAAGATATGAATGTTTGATTAATGTGATTAATTATTAAACTCTGGTCACCGGAGTAGAGGAGCGACGCTGCTCTGCTCATCAATTAGATTATTCTCATAAAATTATGATTTATATGTCAACATGTGTGACCCGCAAGTGAGGTTGTGGTTTAGAGTGTCCATCACCAGCATCCGTAAGAAGGAAGGAGAAGGAAGTCCCGCGTCCCCCCAACAGCCAGCGGCCCCGGTGCCAAGAGCTCCACCGCGGCCTGCCCTGTGCGCGCTGTCCCGCTGCTGCCTCAGCCGGTCTGCCTCAGCTCCGCAGCTGAGTGAGTCAAGTAATTAAAACAAGGAGGAATTTTAGTTGGTAAGAAAACAGCTGGCTTTGTAAAGTTTTTTTTTCGCCAACAAACCAATTTTATAGAAAAACACAACAGAGAAGGCAACTTGGAACTGCTCAGTGACAGAATACAGGCGGCAAATAATGAGCTTATTCATATGTGGAGCAATTATTATTATTAGTTAGGTTATTTGAATAGTATTTTCATTGCAAACTGAGCTTCTCAGACACTTTTTTTTTTGTTGCACTTACTTGAATTAAATTATCAGTCTGTCTGCAGGAGAATTTCCATTTCATCCACTTTATCTTTGAGCATTGTGGAGGACAACAATAGTCCGACTCCTGTCCAAACTGCTTTCCTGTTTGCAAGTGTCAACCACAAAGATTCACAGTTGAGTGTGTGTGAGTGTGTGAGAGTGTGTGTGAGTGTGTATTTCCCAGCTCTTTGTGTGAGCCGGGCTGGTCTTCAGGAAAGACGCTCCGCAGCCATCCCCCCGTCCGACGGCGGGGCTGATGCGGGGCTGAGCGACCCGCATCAGCCCGGCGGAGGAAGGAAAGAACACGGTTAAAAATAAAAGAAACTCCGAACTTTCTCTGCGCTGTCAGCCACAGATTCTCACTCAAACATACATTTAAGAACTCAAGAAAAGTTCAACTGCACATTGGTATTAAAATGCAGTGCCACAGAGTTGCACAGTGTAAAGCCCCGGCTGTGGAACCGCTTCAGTGACGATGAGAATGGGCAGGTTTTAGGAATATTTTTACAGTGAGGGGAAAAAAACAATTAAAATACATTATGGGCTTTTTTTCCAGCCACTTTTATTTAATTTTAAAGATGAGTGAAACTCGATTTAAAAGTCCTAAACTCTTCTGAAAACGTATTATACATATTCTAAGTCACAAAAGAAGTATTATAGAAATATTGTAGGGTGGTCTCCAGCCAGTAAAGAAACCTAAATTTAAATATTTAGAGAAAGTTGTGCAGGGGCCCCGTGCACAGAGCCCGCACGTCAGCCTCGTTAATCTAATATACATTCCCTGTTTGAATGCAATGGATGTAATGCTGCTGCAATAAACAGCCAGTCTGCGCTGGAAGCTCTCCTGTGTTTATTCCGGGGACAGAAGTGGGGATCGGACTCGTCAATTATCTTCTCGGTGTTATATCAGCCTGATTATCAGCTAAGCAAACAGCGGCTGCCTTTAAAAAAAAACAAAAAAACAGCCCTGATCGAATTAAGTCGTTAAAAAGTGTCAAAACTTCACACTTTATATTCGGGGAGATGGCTGCCAGAGTGTGTGTGTGTGTGTGTGTGTGTGTGTGTGTGTGTGTGCTCGTTAAATTAGAGGCCATTGACTAAAAAATTCAGTGTTTGCAGAGAGTGTGAATGTGCCCTTTCAATCAGCTTTGAAGGAACTTTTGTTAAAATAATGTTTTAATAGTTCAGGAACAATACAGGGTTGAATTCTGGGAATAATAGGAACTGATTTTTTTTTGTCCTTATAAGGAAGAAAATCAGTAAAAAATCAAATAAAATAAAAAGCTCTTAACTTCTCAGAAGTTTAAGGGACATGTGAATTTCCCCTTAAAAGCAGCTCTATGTGCGGAAACAATATAGGTTTTAAATACCACAATGTTCTATAGTATTTGTTATAAATGAATACACTATATTTTATATGTTTTTTAGATTTTATTTAGATATAAAATAAAAGATAATTCGATTGTTTCTGACTCTCCTCTGATGCCTCTGAGGCGGATTTTCCGCTAGTGGGCGCTCTTGTCTTTCGAAAAAAACCTCTTATCCGTGCAGGGTCGGCGCTGTGAGTGGAGCCTCCTGCAGCGGCACTGTGGCTCACTACAGTGCCGCCGTGTACGAGCCTTGTGGGAGCAAATGTTTGCTCGTTGCTTTCATTATGGGGCTATCCACAGAAAACCATAAACAGGCAGGAAGTGCCGGAGAACGGGCTGTGTAACGCTTTCCTGAGGAGTAAAAACACGGTCCACTCACATAGAGCCTGCTCCGCTCAGCTGACCTGCTGTCAGCTCTTTATGTTCTTATTACAGGTAATAGGAGGAGTGCAAACACACAGACTTTTAGTTGAATTCACCTTCATTGGATGTATATTTGTTGGATTCATTTTATTAATACATCAGATATTATAATTAAACAAAAATCACAAGTCTTATCCATCCACCTGCCTGTTTGACAAAAGCAGCATTCGGGCTCTAATTCCTCCCCATTTTCGCTCACCACTAGTCACCGTGCTGAACCAGTTGCCCCCCCCACCACCACCACCTCCCCTCCTCCTCTTTGACTGACAGCAGAGCTCCTATTGACTTCCCCGCCGAGGGACCAATCAGCGGCGGCGGGGGGCGGGGCCTGGGCAAAACCAGCTCAACCAAATATTCCCAGTCGCGGTCCCTTGCAGTTACTTTCCATCCAGGTTTCGGAGCAGCGCTGAGGCATCACCCCTGCGTTGTCTGCGGGCGTTCGGGACGGATCTGCAGGAGAAGAAAAAAAAAAACAGCCGCAAAGCGCTCGTTCTTTGGGGACCTCTAGTATGAGAACTTCCATTCCAGCTCCTTTGATTTCTTTCATTCTCATATTTGATCATTTTCTTTTTTTTGACCATCCGACCTCATTGTTTCGCCCTTCTCATTTTTCTGCTGCTGTCACCCACAGTTTGTTGCTCACCACCACCAGCTCCAGCTGAGAAGGGGAATATCTGAACCATTCCACCACCAGCCATCACTGTCCTTTTCTCTGCTGCTGCTGCTGCTGCTGCTCTGGATTTTGGCGTGCACACTGCTGGACTATAACGCAGGGGGATTTATATTTGTATTGATTTCCATCTGCCGCCCGGTCCACAGCGGACACCAGCACTTTTTTCTCTCTGAGGGATGTATTACAGCGGGTTGAAGTCTGCGCTCTGAACAGGGGAGAATATTAACGCACTGTCCGCTGAATGAACTACAGCCGTGCGCCTTTGGCTTTTGGAGCAGGTCTCTCATCTGGAGATGCTCTCGTACGTCTGATCGGGGTTTGTGATTCGTGCGCATCTCCTCTGGATCGGGATATAAGGTGAAGAAATTGCATCCCTTTCTGGAGCGCTGGTCCTGATTTTTTTTTTGTTTTTTTTTTCTGTGGACACATTTGGTTCTTTTGAGAAGGGTTGTGCACCCACCCGGAGGCGCGCAGGCTAACCATGGGGGACTCGATGTGGAGATATTATTTCGGAGTTTTGTTTATTGCCTTCAAAGTGGACTTGTGCCGGGCGCTCATCCTGGAGTCCATCTACTGGAACACAACAAATACCAAGTAAGTGGAGCACAAGCCGCGCTGATTACCGGCCCCCGTAGCGCCGTACGCTCTCCCGTGTGGAGGCGATTTCATGCCAGACTCCGTTGAAAAATCGGGCAATTTAACGTTGGCTCGCTGGCCGCCCATGGCGTCTATGCGTAAAAATAACACGAGTTAACATTAGGTGGTTATGCAGCAGCAACTCTTCAATTCAGCACACATTGAGTGGAACAAAGAGCCCTCAGAGTGGCGTGATTTTTAAATTTCGAATTTATCTACGCATGTTATTCCAGTTCCACCACACTCCACCGCGGCGGGCGGCTCAAGTCGCGTCTCTGAAGTAAGATTTTGTGAAAATAAATGTAGCTCAGTGAATCGTCTGTACGCCGACTCTCCCAGAGAGCCTTAATGATTCGAAAAAAAAAACCTAAATGAATCTCAACCCGCTCTGCAGCTCCACTCACACATTTATTTGAACTGAGTTTGGGTTTTTATTGCTGGGAAGTCTCAGGGTTAACCACATCGGATAATGAAAAGCCTAAAACGATAAAGCCATCACCAAAACACCTGCCGGGATAAAGGAAGCTGCGTTTATCTCTGCTCGTTGCTTTACTCACTGCTGAACTGATAGATTTACTGTGTGTGTGTGTGTGTGTGTGTGTGTGTGTGTGTGTGTGTGTGTGTGTGTGTGTGTGTGTGTGTGTGGGTCTGGTCGCCGTTGGGGAATATTTACGCGCAGTGGACGGCGAGGGCCCGCTCGGCCGTGCGTTATGGTGCCACTCAGCAGTAAACCCGCCTCAGTACTTTGTGTGATCCCTACGTTATTTTGCTGCTTATTGGCATGTTCCTGCAGAGTCTATCGGCTGTGTGGCTCATCTTGGTGGGGCGCTGGGGGGTTTGGGTTGAAATGAATTCTGAAGGTAACTTTACGCTTCGCCTCCTCGGTCAATAATAACTTCGTCTGGGCGTATTGTAATTCATATCTGACTGTAACAGGTCCCAATCAGCCAAAATAGCAGAGACCCTTTGCAGCTGCACTCAGCCTCATTAGCAGGCCAGTTTCGTCCCTTTAGATATTAAATGTTAGTTGTGAGATTTTTTTTAAATCCTGAGAATAATATTAAAGCGAAGAGAACCCTTGCTGTTCCTGACGTGCCGAGGCGGAGGCTCCGTGGAGCTGCTGGGACGCTCCACCGGGCCTCTGCTGCTCTGATGCGGTTTCCAACACTCTGTGTGGAAGGAATGAAATAATTAACTGAACAATGAGCCGCATTTGAGGGCGGATGGTGCTGGAAATATGCTCGATTAGATGCAAACTTTTGATGGACCGTCGTGCGCCTCCAGCCCGCTGCTCTCACGCCGTTCACACGCATAAACCCCCAGAAGCCTCAACGTAAAGGCGTCACAACAGTGCAGCTGGGTGCGTTCGGATGTACATTTTCAGGCTGTCCTATAGTTGTGTGTGTGTGTGTGTGTTTTTTTTTTTTTTTAAGTAGTGCTTCAGCTATGAGCACCGGTGTGTGATTATTAGACGCAGGCCTGTTTGTGTATTCCCCAATCTAAGATCATCTACACCATCCATTAGCCTCCTTAATATTCCTACGGGCCAAGAAAGGCGGTTAAACTCCTTTCCTGCAAATAAAAAAGGTGTCTTTCTCCTCCTCTACACCCCTGGTCTCAGCCCGGCGGGGGGCGCCCCTCTTTGTGGCTGTTTAGTCACGGCCAAACTCCCAACTCGCTCAATAATTCAGCTTTTGGCTCCGGTGCAGCCAGAGAGCCCCTCGCCCTCTCTGCCTCCTGCTTTTCCCCTCAGTGAAAATGCTCACAATGGGGGCGTTATGATGGTCTAACAGGTGTCTATTGTTGCTTAAAACTGCAGGAAATGAGCGTCCACTTGTGTTGTGCGTAACCGTGCGCGCTCGGGCCTTGTTTGTCTGTTGTGCCGAGTGTTTCAGAGGATTGGCTGCGTAGCTGTCTGCGGGACAGAGCTCTGGTGTTCTATATGCTGCAGCCTCGGCCTTCCAAAGCCTCTTGACTGCCACGGCCATCTGTGTCCAGACGCGTTTGAATGCGGACTGCGCATCCAATGACGCGCTAATGTGGACTCGTTTTGAGGAGCAGCAAACAATGCATTTCTACAGGTTAAAATCGGCTGTGGTTGCACTTTGCAGGTCGATATTCCATCCCAAATTGCACTGTGGTGTGTGTCAAATATAAAGCCATGATGTAGTGAGCAGTTGTGCCCCAGTGTACCATTTGGTGACCATTTGGCTTCAGTAAAGAGACAAAAAAAAAACACCCCAGGATGGTTTTAGCAAGATATTTGCTTGAGAGATTTTAGCCTTGAAGCCAAAGTGGCAGATCACAGCAAATATAAACACTGCTAAGAATAGATATTTTTGAAATATCTTGCTCTTATGCTTTCTGGGAAGGCTTTCTTTCTATATAGGGATCACCCAACAAGTCATTTTGTGCTTTTAAAATACCTTCCTCACAGAGCCAGAACATGAAACCTCCTCCATTTTGGAGCTGCAGCAGCCCTTGCAAATTAGTATGTCATTTCACTTGGCGCGTCAGCTTTGATTTTGAAAAGGAGGCAAAAAAAAAAAATGAAAGAAAGAAAGGGGAAAGTGTGTCCACCCTCGGAGCAAGTATAGGCCCCGAGCTGCCACAAATGCGGCGGGCATTCCGGCGGAATTAGTGTGTGCATGTGCGCATTCTTTGCGTTCAGTCTGGGTGAGGAGTTCAGAGGTAAAAGGCCAGAGAGTGATATCATTGTGTGACCGGTCACCTCTTTCTCTTTAGGTGAAATTCCCCCCTTTTGTGAGTCGCCTCTTTTATGGAGCTGAGGCAGAAGAATGATTTCATTTTGTAGTTCAAGTTCTGTGGCGGAAACAAACTTTTTTTTTTTTTTTTACACACAAACTGAAAATATTTTGGACATTTGGCTAACATCTTTCTTTTTTGAAATCCGTCTTCTCTATTAGTCTTTAGGGGATGCTGATGAGGACACAAGTTTGTCCAATTTCTAAACTTTTTTTTTCTAATTTCTCACACATTCTCCTGTCCGATAAATAACTTTCCTGTGAGTCTCGGCCAAATAAACGACACCCAGACTTTTTATCGTCCCCTTTCACAGCTTCCTCAAAGTCCTCATGCCTGTGTGTCAGTTATTCCTCCTCGGTAACAGAGAACCCCAAAGCGTGAATATCTTTATTCAGCAGGTCAGCAATATGCTCGACAGCTCAAGTTGTCCCTGCCTCCGCGTCTCTCTTTTAGTCGGTGTTAGTCCTCCTCTTTGACTATTCAGGGAAGGATGAATGTTAGAAATGTGAAGGCTGCGGGCCAGTCTAATGCCTTTGTGTGTGTAGGCCGGGGGAGAGTATAAAGAAACAGCTAGGCTCTCTCTCTCTCTCTCTCTCTCTCTCTCTCCGTGTGTGTGTGTATTAAGTGTGTGTGCATCCATCAAAAACAAAAAAAAATCCCTCCACAGGGCCCACGGCTGTGTCGATTAAACCTCATTGTTGTTTGCGCTTTACTACTTTACTGCCCTTATGCATGAACCTCCCAAGAAAAAAAAACGAGAGAATGACCCCCACCACCTCCTCCCCCCCATCTCCCCAACACACACACATCACATCACACCACACACACCTCCTTCTCCTGGTAATCCATTTTGTAGTTGGGAGGGAGAAACAAAAGAGAGGCCTGCTTTACATGGTTTATGTAAAAGGAGCGCTCCCTCTCTTCCAATGCAGTTCATTAAGAGATTACATAGAAGCCCAAAGACCCTTTGTGACCGGGCAGTGACGGGGGCACCTCTGTGGGTCCTTTTGTGAATGTGGGGGGGTGAGAGAGAGGGAGAGATGAGGGGAGGGGGGGGCAGAGAGATGCAGGTCCATCATGAATGAGTGACGAGGCCTTGCACTGAATGTCGTAACCCTCCCTCTTCCTCCAACCATCCCTCCCTCCAGAACCCCCGCGGTGCCTCTAATTTTGCCTTTTTTCCTTTCTTCTCCTCCATGAGAGAGAGAGGAAGATCAGTTGTTTTAATTTAGCTACATCGACCAGCAGCGAGAGTGAGGGGAAAAATGGAAGGAGAGAAAGTGAAGCACCACCATGCTCGACACACCAAGTTCACACCGCCGGGGCGACGTAGGTTGACGCCGCTTTTTAATGATTGCTGCCCAGAGAAAAGTGGGTGATTAAGATTGTGAAATAAAAGAACGGGGAGAGAAAAAATAGGAGGAAAAAGTGAGAGAAAATGAAACAGAGGGGGAGAGAAGAAAGCGTCAGGGCCCCTTGGGGCACGGAGGGTAATTATGTCTAGGCCTGCTCAGATCCCATAGGCCTGGATTACTGGATGAAAGGTAGGGCCGAAAGGCACGGAGCGCAGACACAACCGGAGAGAGGACGAGGGGGGATAGGGTGACGGGCCGGCGCAAAGACCTCTGTCCCCTCGGCCAACAGAGGGCGAAAGCCGGGGCGCTGCGAAGAATCACTGGGTGGATTAACCCTCACTACGCCCCGGCTTGGCCTCTTTGTCTGCCGCCTTAATGAATCCTTGCATTGCAGCTGGGATTCAGAGTCAAACAGTTGCTCTTGATCTGCGGTAAATATTCGCCCTCCCCTCGTTCCACTTTGTTTTCTCATAACTTCGGGGCCACAGGAAGAGAACGGAGGGGAGAGTCGGACGGGGGGATTACGCCGGGGCGGCCACCGTGGCTCTGTTTTGTCACACACAAATCCAACAATCCAGTGGGTTAAATAGAGAGTCTAGATAGAGAGAGAGAGAGAGAGAGAGGGGAGGGGGGGAGGAATGAAGGGGGTGACATGGAGATGTGCAGTGACAGGGGGACGCACCAGCTTTAGAGACTCACAGATCTAACTTTTCTTGTTGTTTTTTACTAGGGACAGATGCAGCGGTCATAACCTCTCAGGAAGTAGGTCCACAGCCCCCCCTTTTTTGCTCCTTTTGCCCCCAACCTTTCCTCTCTCCACCCCGAGCCCCTTCCACA